ATCAATATGTATTTTTTAATGGTAGTTCCTCTCAGTATTTAAAGGTTGACACAGGTGTTCCTCAAGGTTCAATTTTTGGTCCAACAATGTTTATAATATATGTTAATGATTTACCAGTAGCTTTAAGTAATGTTTGTGTATCGCCATACATGTACGCTGATGACCTTGCAGTTCAGATAAGTTGCTCAAATGATAATTTAGCGAATCAGATTCTCAATAATATCAACATGACTGTTGAGGACTGGACGGCTGCAAATTTTCTGTGTCTCAACAAGAAGAAAACTCAAATCCTCAAATTTAACCTAAGTTCTTGTTCTCACTACCCACATAAAGAAGATTATTCATGAAAATATATTAAGAATATATTTCAATATATAAAAATTTCTCAAAATATAGTTAATATATATAGTTGTACAAATATATAATTCCATTCTATATTCCTAATATAGTATAAATATACAAAGAAAATAGTTGGCATTATGTAAAAATTTTATACTTTAGAACATATATTATAATGTATTTTAAATATAAATCGAATATAAGTTTATTATAAATTAACCGTATTTCTCATAATACATTTTGAATATATTTATTAAAATATATTTAAAGTGTATATTGTATGTTATATTTATAATATATCTTTGTAAATATATTTCATATAATATTTAAATATATTTTAAATATAGTTTAAGAGTATTCAACGTTTTACATTTATATTTTAAATGTATTTGTTCAATATATTAAAAATATATTTTAACATTTACATTTCTAATACAAAATAGATTTATATTATAAATATATTCCACATATATATGCGGCCATATTGTTTTAATTATGTTCAGTTGAGCAGTGTTGTGCCGGCGATAGGTGGGGTGTAGGACTGCGTCCGTAGGTTATATGTTGTGGACTTAACAGATATATGTGTTTCTACAGGATTATCGCTGGAGAAATAAGAAAGAGTATGCATGAAAGTGTCTTGTGTTTAAATGTGTGTGTGATTATTAGGCCATGCAACAAAAATTAGTGCTAATTTGGACCTAACCTCAAAAAATGAGTGTTAGTCATTTAGGTTACGGCCTAGTTGCACGATTCTAGCTTAGGGCAATATGCCTAATATGCGTATCTGTAGAATGTTTGCTGAAGAAACAAGAAAGAGTATAAGTGAAATTGTCTAGTGTTTAAATATGTGTAATTATTAGGCAAGTCAATAAAAATGAGTGCCAATTTGGACCTAACCTCAAACATGAGTGTTAGTAATTTGGATACGGCCCTAGTTGCAACGATTTACGGTAAGTGGATCAACTGTTTATAAATTAGAATATATACGGTACATTTACCAATAAAAAATAATTATTCAATCTATTTTTACAAACAGCATTCTAGCCTATTTTGTAAATATGTGCGCGAGTCTGAATTTTTACTACTATAGTAACGATATCAGGCCGGCCTACATCCCGAATGAAGCAAATCTGTGTAATTAGTAAACCTAAAATACTACGATAATACATTTGGATAAAGCTTCTCTCAATTAAAAGCATAACATTTGTCCATAAAAGAGCTGTCTAAGTAGTCCTAAATTATAGGCCTGGTTTTGTTCAACCCGCCGAATGTTAAGCGTCGTAAAAGCGACTCATAACACACCACCGCGGTGTTATGCGTCGCTTTTGCGACTCACAAACACTGTTTAAAAAGCTTTATATATTATTGATATATTTGAAATACATTATATTAAATATATTTTTAATATACTAGCCCTTTTCCATATTTAAAATATATTATAAAAACACATTTGAAATATATAATTTATATATAAATACCACAAATGAAATATAACTGAATATATTACTCGGTCCCATAATTTGCATATTTAAAATATATTGACAATATATATTAGCAAATATATAGCTTTATATTTCAAATATATTTTTTTTTATATATTTTCAATATAAATTTTCTATGTGGGTACACACCTGAAGAGGTTAAATTTCTAGGTATAGTCCTGCAACCTAACATTAAATGGAATAATCATGTTGTCAGTGTGTGCAAAAAAGTGTGTAAAGGTATTTTTATGATTAGACGTCTCAGGTTGATTGTTGATTTTGATGTTCTGATGTCAATATACTTTGCTCACATTCAGAGTCACCTATCGTATGGAATTGTAGTGTGGGGATGTGACAGCAGCGTTAAAAAATTACTGATTTTGCAGAAGAAAGCTTTAAGAATCATTTGTAAAGTAAAAAGAAAAACTCACTGTAAACCTTTGTTTAGAAAACTTGGTGTGTTAACTGTACCTTCATTATACTTACTGGATTCTTTGTTGTACATTAAAGAAAATCTTAATAATATTCCTGCCAACAATTCAGTACATTCATACTTTACCAGACAGAGCCATTTTATCAGAATTCACCAATGTAATTATCAGACTACCATTAAATCTACTTTTGAATTAGGTAAGAAAATCTTTAATTTGCTGCCACATAATGTAAAATGCTTAGATGATAAGAAATTCAAAGTGCATTTGAAATCTCTTTTGATAGAATTAAGTGTCTATGATGTTGACGAATTTATCACTTATTTAAGGTGTCCAGTTTTGTAAATAGAAATTTATTGTAAAATATGACGATGCCATACGTATGTTTTGTATGTTTTACGGCAATAAATGATTTGATTTGATTTGATTTGATTTGATTTGATTTGTTAAAGAAAAAATTAACACAACAAACAAGTTCAACACTTCTTCAATCGCCTTGAAAAGCTTTAAACACAGTATTATTGTAATTATTATAAACCAAGACACCACATTATTTATAACAAAACCATAATACGGATCTTTCTAGTTTAAAAAGCATAAAATTAGTGATTGGCGGATCCAAGAAAATGTCGGTACCGGATCCGGATCCAAATACACACTGTCATAAGGGCAGGTTAAAAAAAACGTAATTAACAGAATGCCAATTTAAATCATACTGTTTAAATTAAATTGGTAATGTTTAAAGGTTAATATATCTTATATATAGAGTAATCTCCAGTTGAGCCCATAATCCCTCATTTTTTGGGGACACTAACAAAATCATAAAATGCACTAAGTTTGCACGACCACCTAAAGGGTATCTGTGTATATTTTACAATAGCTCGATCTTCAGTATGCTATATCGTGGTTTTTGCATGCAGCATCCAATTTATTTATGCCTGGATCACCTCTTGTAATCTCTTCCTTAAATTCGTTCCAGGTCCACCCTACTGATAGACGGGTATGTGAAGTTCTACAAGTAAAATACCCCGTGTCTGTGTACAAGAAAGAAGTCTATACTGTGTTCTAACTTAGAAAAATATTAGATGAGGGAGTCTTGACTTTTTATTCACCCTGATAAAAATACAGAGATATACAGATATACCCTGAGATATACAGAGATAATCTTCTTGTACACAGACATAGGGTATTTTATAGTGATGGACAAGACCCAAAACTTTGAGATTTTTTTATCACAAAGCATCGGGTGGGATTGAAATACTAACGGGATATTTTCGAGACGAGATTACAGGCCGTTAGCTTTTCATCCAGGTACTAAACTAAAAACTAGAGGTGTGCAGATATCCGAAAAATCGGGTCGGATTCGGTTCGGAAAGATACATGCCATTGCCATATATGTTATTTGCATCAAGAGACAAACACTGAGACATGGCCTTGCCATATAAGTTATTTGTATCAAAAGACAAACACTGAATCATGGCCTTGCCATATAAGTTATTTGCAACAAAAGACAATTGAAACATGGCCTTGCCATACAAGCTATTTGCATCTAGATACAAACATCGAGACATGGCCTTGCCATATAAGTTATTTGCATCAAAAGACAACACTGAGTCATTGCCTTGCCATATAAGTTATTTTCAACAAGAGACAAACACTGAAACATGGCCTTGCCATACAAGTTATTTGCATTTAGATACAAACATCGAGACATGGCCTTGCCATATAAGTTGTTTGCATTAAGAGACAAACACTCGGGGAAAAACGGTCTTGTACATGGATACAGACAGCTTTATGTTAGTAAACAAATCGGGGTTGTACAGTGATACAGACAGCTTTGTGTTAGTAAAAACATCGGGGTTGTACAGTGATACAGACTGCTTTGTGTTGGTAAAAAAATCGGGGTTGTACAGTGATACAGACAGCTTTGTGTTAGTAAACGAATCGGGGGGAAATCGGTCTCTTACATGGATACAGATAGCTTTATGTTAGTAAACAAATCGGGGTTGTACAGTGATACAGACAGCTTTGTGTTAGTAAAAAAATCAGAGTTTTACAGTGATACAAACAGCTTTATGTTAGTAAACAAATCGGTGTTGTACAGTGATACAGGCAGCTTTTGTGTTAGTAAAAAAATCGGGGTTGTACAGTGATACAGACGGCTTTGTGTTAGTAAACAAATCGGGGTTGTACAGTGATACAGACTGCTTTGTGTTGGTAAAAAAATCGGGGTTGTACAGTGATACAGACAGCTTTGTGTTAGTAAACAAATCGGGGGGAAATCGGTCTCTTACATGGATACAGATAGCTTTATGTTAGTAAACAAATCGGGGTTGTACAGTGATACAGACAGCTTTGTGTTAGTAAAAAAATCAGAGTTTTACAGTGATACAAACAGCTTTATGTTAGTAAACAAATCGGTGTTGTACAGTGATACAGACGGCTTTGTGTTAGTAAACAAATCGGGGTTGTACAGTGATACAGACTGCTTTGTGTTGGTAAAAAATCGGGGTTGTACAGTGATACAGACAGCTTAGTGTTAGGAAAAAAATCGGGAAAAAATCGGATCCATCAAAACCGGATCCAGCCCAAGATCCGGAATTTTTTGGATCCGATCCGGTGTCATTTCTAGCTCGGATCCGGTGGATCCGGTAGTCCGATATCCGGATCCGACCATCACTACATAAAATTATGGTACCGTACACTTTGTTTTAGTTTGACCTGATCGATAACTTAACACAATCATGTCCACATCAAAACATCGAATAATGAAGAAGACTGACACTGCTATGGTTTATGTTCTGCAGACAACCTAGTACTGTACCGTATACAGTAATTTTAATTCTTAAGCTTACTTTGCGGTTCATTCTAGCGTTACAATAATACTTAATTTAATGGATATTTCAAGTACTTAATTTTATGGTTATTTACCTTAAAATCAAAGCTAAACAGTTACTTACTAGTTTTGTGAGATCACTGAAGAAGTAAGCGTTGCAACCCTCTACAATATGCTTTGGAGGGGGTTCAGCATTTTCAGTCAGCTGAAAACAGTTGAAATTCTGTAAGTTGCTAAATTGCATTTTAAATCCAGAATGACTTTAAGTAGAGGATAGTTTCCAAAAACGTTCTGAAGTAAGTGTCATTTACAAATTTTTGAATATTTCGACAACATTTTGCATTTGAATAAATTATTTTTCAGCAATTTTATTTTGACTGATTCAACGGTTGTGATGTTAAATTTGAATAACTTGATAATACAATTAAAATCAAATCAGTTTTATTTCCACAATAAGTATAAAAAATAACAGCTAAAAAAAGAAAATACAAAGAAAGTAGTCTAGAAGCACTACATAAATTGTAGAGGTGTGCGGATATCCGAAAAATCGGGTTGGATTCGGTTCGGTTCGGATATCCGTATCCGAACCGAAATTTGATTTGAGCCCAAATTTGATATCCGACACTAATAATAATAAATCTTTATTGTCATTTGGTAATAAAAACATTACAATAGACAAGGTCAACATGTTTTGTTACATTGTTATATAAAATATTAAATAGGCTACAGAAAATGTTAAAATAAAGTTAAAAGAATCTTAAAAGGATAAAGCATCAGTAATAATAAAAAACTTTGAAATTAATAGGGAAAAGACCATAACAAGAACAAAGAATCACCAAGACTGCTTGGCCTCACAGTTAAGCCTTGAAAAATCTACATTCTGCAAAAACTCCTCAACTGAATAAAAAGCACGACTTGTAAGCCAATCTGATAATTTTGACCTATACAAATGAATACTTTCCTGATTTCTAAAATATATTGGAAGTTTATTAAATAGTTTTATTTGCAAATGTTTATAACTTTTGATAAATTTTGTTAGCCTGGCTTGAGGCTAATAATGTTAGCAAGACAAATAAAAAAAAAGTTTAAATTATACGGTTTTTTTTTCTCCTATATATTTTTTACTTCCCATTTAAATTAATCTTTTCGCAACTCGAGTCTACGCACAGGCCCTGCCTATGTAGACTTTTTCCTTTCCTATAGAATGTATTTTTTTTACACTTTTATTCACTTATTTCTACAGTATATAATTTTTGTTTTGTTATCTAGTTAGTAATGTTTTGCTGTATCATATTTAAGTAAAGAAAAAAATACAATCTGTAAATAATTAATGGGAAATAAAATATTATTTAATTTAATTTAATTTAATTTCATTTCATGAGGAATGTATAAATCTTTTGATTGTCTGGTGATATACCCATTGATTGAGTTCCAAGGAACAAATTTATTTAGATTCTCTTTAACGGAAACTAAATTGTTAAAAATGAAAATATTAGAGAGTGTCATGTTTCTATTTTCAGCAAAAAATGCTTGGCAACTAACCCTATCTGGAATTTCAAACATAATTCTGAGAGCCTTCTTTTGCCTTGTAAAGACCCGGTGAGCTCCTGAGCTATTACCCCACAGTATATTGCCATACAGCAAGTGTGAGTGAAATAAACTGTGGTAAACAATTAGAAGTGTTGGTTTAGAAACACATTTTTTAAGTTTTCTTATCAAACAACATACTCTTGACAATTTTGAAATGATATTATTGGTATGTATTCCCCAAGTGAGTTTAGAGCCTATGGATATTCCAAGTAGTTTAACAGAAACTGCATTGTCTGCTTCAAGATTACGCAAAGTAAAACAAATTTTTTCTGTTTTATCATGATTTATTTCAAGAAAATTACTTTCAAACCACAGCTTACCCAATTCAATGGCGTTTTCTATACTTTGGTTTGCAGAGTGAAAGTTGTCAGCTGATGAGATGAAGGTTGTGTCGTCAGCATATAAAATTGTTTTGTAAGGTATAGAGTTAGGCAAATCATTAATATAGAGAATAAACAAAACCGGACCCAGCAACGACCCTTGATGAACCCCAGCAAGGACCTCCTTAAAATTTGACCTATGTTTTCCTAAATTAACAAATTGTAGTCTTCCACAGATGTATGATTTAAAAAAATTTAGTTCATGCTCCATTATTCCATAAAATTCTAATTTCTGCAAAAGAATTGTATGTAAGACCGAATCGAAGGCCTTACTGAGATCTAAAAGTGCCACACTAAGATAACCACCAGATTCAAAACTATCCAAAATATCAGACACCACCGATTCTATAGCCAAAGTAGTTGAACGACCCGGTCTGAAACCAAATTGGTTATTGTTTAAAATATTATTTAAGTTAAGAAAATCAAAGATCTGGGCTTTAGCACAGTCCAGTCATTTTCTGAAGTTACTTTGGGTGTAACTATTTTTTCGTCCTCTTTTGTAACTTTTGTTTCCCTATCTGCCACACAGCTCATGTCGGTAAAAGTTGACTTATCAACCAGAGTTTTTTCCCCAGTCCCAGACTGGTAGGCTAGATGTGAGGCCTGGAAAATCACTTTCTTCAATATTTCAGAGCTAATATAAATGAAATTATTGTTACAAGTCAGATATGCAATAACTGCTCGTTTCACAATTACATCATGTTCTTCTATAGTGCCTTGTTTGAAGACCATTTCTAACTGATTGCCAAAATTGCCTGAATAATCCAGTCAATAAACATTACCATGAATACCCCACAGTCAACTGAATTATTTCCCTGTTGAGGACAGGTCACAATAGTCAAGGGGAGTTGCTCATTTTCAGTGTTATCAGATTGAGGTAGAATGCACTTTGAGATTCTTGATATAATTTGCTTGGCTGAACTTAGATTGTACTCACCAACAGAATCAAAATAATAAAGTTGCTTTTTTGGCTTTGAGTAGAACAAAAAACTCCAATGAGACCCAGAGTTTTCGATAGTTGAGGCTTCATTTACTGGTATTGATATGAAAGACTTATTTTGTAGTTCCAATGGCTGCAGTATATAATCAAAATCGCTAAAGCATTTAATGGCATGACTCTCAACAGGATTAATAAGGAATGTATCTTTATTTATTATATTCCCACTGAGTATTTCAAAATATTTTTGGATACACTCATCCGTTACGATTCAAATACAGTTTTAAAAATTATCTTGGTATTTTACTTGGGGTAATGAAGTTATGTAGGTTAGTGTAATTCTCGGTTCATCAAGGTTCTACTGAATTATGTTTGGCAGTGAATAAGTGTAGAATGAAATTTATAAATTTAGGGATACACACCTTTTACAGAGTTACAAAGCCTAATTGCCCTAATTAACTTGCCGCAACATCAAATCGTGAGCTAGAGCCCAGCATTAGTGATGTTTTCTAAACTTGGCAAACCGGCAGAATGCCACTTAAGGCCAATAATCCGTTCCAAAAACGTAAGGAAATACAATGTGAAAATAAACTTGAGATAGAACTCCTTTTCTTGTGAAAACCAGGAAACAACATAAACATAACCTCAAGTAAACACGCCCAAACGTTTGACATCAGTCCTGCTGAGCTAAAGTGCTGTGTGAAGATTTCGGCTGCTAGTGTACTTAAATCAAGCAACCAACTTTTGAAAATAGATGTTGTGAATTGTGATTTTCAAGAGAGAAAAAACTGTGGACGTGGCTAATTTGAAATTCTATAATTCAAAATCGTCATTTAAGTTTATTTACACAGCTTTACAGTGTTTTATAAGTTAAAAATGCATATGTAGCTTATTATTAACCGCGCCGAACTATCCGAATCTGAACCTCCCAATATCCGATCCGATCCGAACCGAGCCTCAACTATCCGATCCGAATCCGATCAAAAATTAAATTTCACTATCCGCACACCTCTAATAAATTGTTTATGAAAAATTAAGGTAAAGTTAAATTTAAAAGTTAAGTATAAACTTAAATACTAATTAAAATAAATTAGCTTCTGCTAGTAATAATCAATCTAATGGAAATGAGTCTACATAGACCTCAGTGGTCTGTGCGTAGACTCAAGTTATTAAAAATTCAACATTTTTGTGATTCCAATGTATTCATTTTCATCTAGAAATTCCTCTGGGGTAGTTGGTATTTAATTACACAGAAGACCTTTAGGTCTGACTACTCAAGACACCCAGTTCCATCCTCTTCAGTTCTTGTCTGGGAGACGATAACAGTTGTTCTGGGGAATAAAGAAATCCGTTTGTTCAGAATACCTGCGAATCCAAAAAGGATCAGTCCCAGATAGTTTGGAATAGCAGTACTCTACTGGACTACTAATTTATTAATCTTAATAACCGTTAAGTTAAGACAAGTTTTTATTGCACATTAACTCTCTAATTAAGAAAAATACAATATTATGCTAACCTCTTGTAAAACTGGAAGAACAGGAGGGTCACATCGTTGCAGGAAGTAGATGACTAAGAGGGTGTAGGCGTAAGAGGAGAGACTACCCTTGGAGGCGTCACCAATATGGCAAATCTTGGAGAACCTCTTAATCATGTAGCCTAAGACCTGTAGAGAAAAACGAATCATGATTTAAAATAAATTTAGTCAAGTCTTTCCCTAAACGTGTGTTTCAAAACCGAAACCACAAAAACTTAAATAGTTGATGCATTGTACGATACTCTAATTAATAAATAACTAAGAACAGCTGTTAAACAAGGAGCCAAGAGGTACAAAGTCCACCGCTCAACCATCTTCCGCATCGCAGTCATGACTTTTACCTGTAACTGTACGAACACAGTTGGATATTGTAAAGCTTTGTCTGTAGGCCTTCTCATTTTTGTATCGTGTAAATGTTTCTGTTTATATATAGTGTGTCCTTGTTTCTTATTTATACTTTTGACGACATTTTCGAAGCAACATTTTAATTATGCCTAATGTTCTTGTTAGGGGTCTGCGGTACAGAAAATTTAAGGTCGGTACGGTACAATATTTTGTACCTCGGTTCTCGGTACAAAATCGGTACGGTACGGGGCTGCCCGTATTTTTGCGGTTTTCTGCTCAGAACTCTATTCAAACCATTATTTTAAACTTTAATACATGACATTACTATGAAAATGGATAGTATCCTACATTCATGGTTTTCTAACAACAATTACTTTACCACACATTATTAAAACAAAACCTTTTACTACTACGAGGATTGTGTCAAGAAAAATCACAGTTAAGATAAAGGCTTTACCTATTTTACTCTGAGAGATACTTTGAATAGCCATGATAAAAGTGGTTTTAAAAATAGGATAAGAGTTTTTAGTAATAAACATGTTTGAAACATTTATTGACAAGATAATTTCACACAACTGGTAAATTATTTCCGACCAACACAATGTCTAGTTATTTTTTAATTTTTAAAAACATATAAAAGCATTCAGTACGATGACAGTGTAGTTGCCAGCTGTTCACACAGACGACAATGAAAAACTGGAGGTTATGATGAAGTAATGGCAAAGAGCATCTTTTTTATCAGCTTCAAAACTAGTTATAAGATAAACACAACTCTTGCAAAGTTTTTTTCTGAAACTAAAATTTGGATTATCACAGAGTAAGATTACTGTCTTACTTACAAAGTTAACATCCACAATATCAATCATTAGCTTATCTCAGGCTCAATCCAATTTTCTTAGTATATTTTAAAGCTCTTCCAAAGAATCAAAAGACCCAGACCTAGACCTGATTATTTAGGAGGGCCTATATATAAATTGATTAGGTTACAACGAGGGTAGCAAAATCACTATCTAGTTCATAAGATTTAGATTGCATAAAGTAAGTTCAACACAATAAAAATACAGGAAACTAAAAAAACATTTAAGCCTTAAACAGCGACATCTAACAATATAAGACAAGATACAGAACATGCAATGACATAATTTGAGACAGAGGAGGCTTGAATAACAAAAAAAAAATATGCAAAACGTCAATAGAAAGATAAAATATCTATAACAAATATTTTAACTTATAAAATAAGATTGTAGATTAGTTACAAGTTTAATATGTAGCCATAAACAGTTTTATGGCAGTAGGCAATGGCCAGCGGCAAATTGAACATTCACAAAACACTGACTGAGTTAGAGATAACATTTAACAGTCATCATAAAACTATTATTTTTATGATAAAATAGAATTGGGGAAAGTCGTAAAGAAATAAAAGTGATAAAACTCAACAGTTCTTGGAAGTACTTGAATACAACAATTATTGTCGTGATAAAATGTTAATGGATTTGGGACTGCTAATGGGTTTTTTATTGCATCATCACCCTAGTAATAAATTATGAAGATCGTAAACAAACATCTGATAAGACTTTTTTATGTGCTCGGAACCAACTGTCTTTGACTATGATAGTAAACTGAAAGTAATTTATTATTATACCGTGTAAAATGCTGTACAACGGTAATTAAGCTTGTACCGTACCGTGAAACACATAAGGATCATACAGGATCACTCTGGCAGTACTCAGGTAATTTTATACCTTAAGAGATAAATTTTACACGTGTTCTGTTTGACTCTCAATAATTGTTGAATATATAACCCTAGCAGTGGCCAATGTTAGAAGTGGGGAATGGCCAACCCATTTTGGCGATTTTGCAGACCTTTTTTTGAAAATTCGTAAAAATTCAACCGTACTAGTAAACCTAGCCAACCTCATATTCATTTTGTTCGGAAAGAACAGGAGAATCTAGAAATAGTAATATCATAATGATGTAGATGGTGTATTTTATCGGTAAAGTGAAAAAGAAAATTGATTTTTTGTGAAAATCCAAAAGCGGCCTCGGTATTTTTTTCCTATGGATTTTTTATGGGAAATTCATTATATACATTTTGTAGACAATCTAATTCCCTACATAGAAATATATAGCATGTTAGGAAAATATTTTTTTTTTATAAGTTTATGGGGCAAAATAAAATGACAAACGGAGAACCGAAAAAATTGAAAACCGTATAGTGTTAGTTTATGTTGTAAAAAGTTATATAATATATGTGTATGTATACTAATAATGATATATACATGTTTGTAAAGCTAATGAAGTAAGGAATCAAAAAAAGTCATAAAGTTTATGATAAAAATAATTTTTTACCTATAAACATATGTATATAAAATAATGTTTTTATATTTTAGCGATTTCGTGAGAAAAAAAATTCACAGTATTTGGTATACAACTTTTGTAGCAAATTTTGTTACTTCAAACCAACATAATAATCTTGTAGTGTATTCAATTACCTACATAAATATGTATAACATGTTGGAAATATTTTTTTTTGTACGTAACAGTGACATAATAATAGGCTACAATAACCGCAAATCCGCAAAACAGTGTAAACTATACAGTGTTTGTTTGTGTTGTGAAACATTATGTAATATATGTATAAACTAATGATGATATGTACACATTTCTAAAGCTAATGAAGTAAGGAATCCAAAAAAGTCATAAGTACAATGGTAAAAAGTTATTTTCACCTATGATTATGAGTCAATTTGAGAATGTTTTGAACTTTTTGCGCATTTTGAGAAAATGAAGTGTACAGTATTTAGTATATAACTTTTTTTACCAAATTTTTTACCCCCAAACCAATAAAAACATGTTGTAGTGTATTCATTTACCTTTATAAAAATGTATAACACTTTGGGTATATCATTATATAGCATATATAGCACGGCGAACTAAGGTCCATCTCGTAGGCCTACAACAATCTCTGAATGTCAGAACCGTCAATTTTGGACATGATGCTAACAAAATACAACCTTTTATGAACACTATTTCACACAATTCAGTAATATTTATGCATAATAAAATGCATGAAGATTACTGTTATACACACACACAAACTTCACTAACACTAACACTACGAACTAATAACTAATAACGTATTTAGTAATAAATCGCGGATAACACGAGAACGAACACTCACCGGCAACAACACAAACAAACAGTGGCGAATACAAGACAGCTGACAGACTGTAGCAGTAATGACTCACTTCCGTCGTCTTCATGCCAGCAGACAGAAATAACCCTGAGTGCAGGGCTGCCACTCTCTGAATCTATATTTCTTCCTCTTCAAAATGACATACTATATGACTAGTAATAATAAATTACACTGTATGTAATTCGTATTTTCCATATCGTCACCTGACGACCATTGGCCATTTGTTAAAAATTTCGAAAACAGCTGTTTTCATAAAATCGTACCGGTTGTGTAATCAATATTTTGTTCTAAATATCACTACCACAATGAAGATAAAATCAATGGCTATCCAATGGTACCACCCGCAACATCCCAAGACGAAAATTACCCGAGCAGGGTAATGCCAAACAAGACGTGTTTTGCCAGTTCCCAAGTGTTGGCTGCAAAAGTCGTGCCGCGCCAAAAATTCATTTGATTTCCAATTGTCGTGACATTGTTATATACCTGCTACAGGGTTTGTTTATGTAATAAAATAAAAGTTCAGAATGTGATCTTTCGAATGGTATATATATTATTCTCATCTGAGTTGATTATAAGTGTTATATTTACCGTTAAAAAAATTTTGGCCCATATCGTCACCAGACGACTTTGGCTATTCTAAGCATCAACGTCATATCGTCACCAGACGAGGATTGGCCACTGCTAGGGTTAAAATACAAAAAACCGATCCCAATAAAATTCCTGCACATTACTGCCATAATTACAGAATTCCCGTATAATTTCCGCCTTTCCAGGTTTTCCCAGTCGCCGGACACCCTGGTTAACCTCCATATATTTTGTTTTTATTTGTCAGTTTTAATGGCAAGAACTTTAAGAACACTTTACCTAATAAGAAAAATTGTATTTATTTATTTATTTTTTCATTTTTTACAAATTTTGGTAAAGATACATAACCAATAGATGTTTTGTAATCAAATGTATGTAACAACCTATTCTAGAAATCTTACCCTTGCTCTCTCATCAATTTGAGCATATGTGCAGAGGAGTTTACTGTTTTCTAGAGCGAGCACGTTGTACAAACTGATATCCCCATCCAGCTTGGTGGACTTATGAGTAAACTTTACAATAGGAACTTTGGCTGTAGCAATAGGAAGTAGATCTTGGAGGTCCTTGGATTGTTTAAGTATTTGGTACAAAATCTCGATAAAACCTCTGGTGTCAAGCCCCTGAAAAAATAGGAAACTTAATATACACTTTCTATCACTATTAGTAAGATATGGGAAGGTGATTACAAAATGTCATAAAAATAAATACTTTAATAGAAAAAAGAAACTAAAAGATAAAAATGTCAGGAAATGTCACACAACATACAAGTAGAAATAATTTGTACCTTAACTCTTAAACACGCGTGCGGGGGTATGACCACATACCACTTGTACGATAATTTTGTTACAATTTTTACAAGTATGGTGTCAACCCTGTTGAGCATAACAGTAGCTTCCTAAAATAGCATATGCTATCATCTGGCCGCAGAGTTGTTAGTCTTGACCGAGTTATTGACCTGTTATCACCATCCTGGGTCTGGCATACCCCCACGCACATGCTGGTGTTACCAGTACTGTGTCCATTGGGGGGGTCTAGTACAAGGCAACAACAAGGTAACAAATTCATGATTATAAGCTATGACATTATAAGATATGAAACCCCACAAACTGTTCAGCTAATTCAGGGCTTCATGGTGACTATAGGAGAAAGCCATTTAGCGATGTATTTTTATCGTTTATTATGTTGTTTCTCTCTGACTGAACAGAAACAGCTGTCGTGAGTTTGTAAATGGCAAATTAATTGTTTAACCTATGTTTTGGTTTTGTTGTTTGTTTGCTGTGCGTAGTGACTAGTGACTAGTGAGCTGTTCAAAATGGATTGAACTCCATGACTTTTATGCGATTCTTTAAGTAATTCAAGTGATATTGATGATGGCAATATTGAAGATGACTTATTCTGTGAACATTTTAGGCCTACCTAAACCGGTGATTGTTGTCTCAATTTAATTTAATAAAATGTTTTAAAATGCATGTCTTCTTGAAGTAGCCTATCTTATTTTCCTTATAGGCTAACCTAATCTATGTAACCTTAATCAATAGCAATGCAGTTATCTTAATGTATAAAGATTAAATGAAAATTTAAGTTAACATGCTCCTTTATTTATAGGGATAGGCCTAGCAAGAAGCACAGTAAGTTATGTGTGTTATTAAATGAATTTTTAACAGGTATAGGTATCGAGTGCGGAATCGAGAATCGAAACCAAAGTTGTAGAATCGGAATCAGTTTCGGAATCGACCTATTCTGGAATCGGCCCATCACTAGTTCAAACTATTATTTTCAATTTAATTAAAGAATATGGTAGGATCATAAAATTTACGTAACATTGTGAGAAAATTAATATAGATATTACGCCCAAAGTTTAAAGGGCTGAATATCAAACACTTTTTTATACCCATTTTTATTTGTGGAGTGCGCACGCTTAAGGGTTAAGCCAGCAATAGCTACAACCGGCCAGTTATATAAGCCTGGTTTTACAATTTGAATAACAATGATATATTTTAAATCATTTTATTTTAGTGTTTTACAATCCAACTTTTTAACAAACTTAGCTTGCTATTTTAATTTTACAAACTATGCCCCTAAAATTGCCTGAATAATGTGAGAAGGAAAATCCCGTTCTGTCCCTTCCTAAACAGAAATATCAGTCCCGAGCATATCTACTAACCTAATTTTAGCCTAAACATGAATAAACACACCTCTCCTGTTTTATTGTCTTCAAAAGAGAGGCAAATGTCCATGTCAGATCCCTTAAGGCCGAAGCCGTTCTTCGTAGATCCAAAAAGCTCCAGTTTTGCAGTAGGATACTCAGCTCCTATGAACTCCTGCAACTCCTGGCAAATCTTTTCTCGCTTTTGGAGATCCTCGTCACTTTGTTTCAGTCTCTCTGATAAAAATATTAACAAAGGTTTCAATAAATTACGATACATATAAATTCAATGACCATAAAGGCGTCATCAGTCTTCTGATGATCCAGCATTTTCAATAATCTGGCATCGGTCTAAAGGGTTTAAAGAATTTGTTAAATGCTGTTATAAGCCACATTAGTGCGATTTACTGTCAGGAGCGAACGATTGGCATAGGTCGGGGGCAATCAGCAGACGTAAAGGGCGTTTTAATTTTATTTAATATTTTTAATTTTAGAATTTTATATCACTAATAAATAGGGGTGCGAATACTTTGAGCCCCACTCGATCTTTATGAGTATATTCGAACTTTCGAATAGTAAAGAAACCTAGAAATAATCTGTAATTTCAACCAAATAAATCATGGTAAATCATGTGTTTTTTTTATTTCATCCCAGCATTTCATGCTTCATATTATAAAGTCACAACAGCAACTTCAGCATATTATGACATCTTCCTTAACTCTAAAGTATACACGACCATTTTCAAGGACGATAATTTTGTTGTGTCTATTAAAATCACTCCACTCAGCTGCCTAGCTTACAATGCTCCAATACGATAGGCTTACTGCAAACTACTGGCATGGAAACACAAGACTGTCAACCACTCTTATTTGAATAATTAACAATAGAATATATTTAGCAGCAATTAAGTTTGTATTAGTTTACCAGACAGATATCTATTTGTATAACTTTTCAATATATTCTCTTAGTTAATATTAGGATCTACTTTTTGTAACGTGAACATAAAGTACAGTAGAACGAAATAAGTCGTCTAAAAGTGTTGTCTGAGTAGCAACTATTAAGCTATGAGGTTAGAACTGCACTTCACAGTCTTTAGCATAGATTAAACATTCTTTAACAAGACAAGAAAATACCGTGAGTTAATTTCTATGAAAATAATCAGCAACATTTTTTCTATTATTGAACAGAGATCTTTTTTTAACTCTACTTTCTTGTTTTGTTGCACCATTTTGTCTCTGGTTCTCTTCTGTAACAAAACAACACAACCAGATGCGTAATAAAGGCCAATGACCTAAATATCATATCATGATTGTGCAATGTTGTATTTTGATGTAAAAATGCAAATCATGGCATTAATTTGAATATATTTGTAGTTAATTCAAATTATATTTTTGATGATTCAAAGTTTCTACATGGTAAAAGCAAATCTGAAGTCAAAATACAATATTGTATCTCCTGCTATTAGAATCCCAGGGCAAGCCAGCCCTCTAGTCTAATAGCTTCAAGGTTGCACCCTCCCCTCCCCCTCGCCTTCACCATTCTCAGTGGCCCTCATTTCGAGGTCATTGTCCAACACTTCCCACCCTTCTATTGTTTTGCCTTTCTAGTATTTTTTTTCTTCTTTAAACATTAAATTAAATAAATCATGGAAGTCGTAAAGGAATAAAAGTGGTAAAACTTTATAGAGCTAAACTACTGACTCAACAAGTTCTTGGAAGTACTTGACTTGCCTACAACAATTGTCGGCATAAAATATTAATGGTTTTGGGACTGCTAATGGTTTTTTTTTACTGCCCCATTACTCTAGTAATAAATTATGAAGGTCCTAACCGATCATCTGATAAACCTTTTTATGTGCTCCTAACCAACAGTGAATTGAAAGTAATTAATTGTTATAGTAGTTCCGCAGACCCCTAAACTGAATGCATTTAAATGTTTTTAAAAGTTTAAATGAAATAACACTGTGTTGGTTGGAAAAAAGTAACCAGTTGTGTTACATTATCTTGTCAAAATATTGCTGCAAACATGTTTATTCCTAAAAATGCTTTACCTAATTTTTTAACTACTAGTGGCTAAGACCTATCTTAGTAGTAAAATAGGTTAAGCCTTTAATCTTAACCGTTTTTTTCTTGACATAATCATGTTAGGAATCAAAGGTGTTGATACTTTGTACTACTGTAATAATTGTTGTTAGAAAACCATAAATGTAGGAAATTATTCATTTTTATAGTAATATCAATTAAATAAAATGAGAAAAATACTGGAAGCCCTGTACCGTACCCATTTTGTACCAAGAAATAAAAAATAGGTAAGGGCAAAAATCTATTATTTTAAAATGTTACATCGGTTAAAATCAGAATCATTAACCTTAGTAGAGTTACAAAGCTGTAATTGGAAAACTCTTTGGAGTATATAATAATAACATAAATATTCGTTTGGTAATATTCAATATTTGAAAATATTATGAAGTATTCAATTCGATTCGAACCCAAAAATCACTATTCGCACACCCCTAATTTTTGGACCTTTACTCTTTATTTTGTAACTTGCCTAAAAATGTCTCTAACAACCTTATCTTATATGCCGACGATACAACTGCAGTTGTCAAATGTAAAAATGATTCCGAATTATCGCTCAAAGTTAAACAAGCTCTATCGGAACTGGGACAGTGGTTCAACATTAATGGCCTAAAAATGAATCAAGATAAAACCCAACTGGTAAAGTTTTGTATGGCTCAGGTTTGTAAAAAAGTATGAACTTTGACGACCTTCAGAAGAAGCACTGTCACTGAAAAACCTATAAAGATGACCCAATTGTGAGCCGAAAGTAGTTGTAACGCAATTATTAGGATTATCAACATTACAGGTATGTAAGCCAATTTAAGTGGATCTTGGTAATCCAGCTAAGCTACCCGATCGAAAAATAAATATTATTATCTATTTGAATTATTTTCAAAATTTAAATATCACACAAAAACATGGTTTTTGTCTTTAATTACAGTAGGTAATTACAAAATTTTTCAACTTTTTAAAACCAGCTTCTAATGAGAATGAACATATTAAACGCTTTGAGATTTACATATTAACATTTAAAAATTAAATTTACCGAATATGTCAAGACATAGTTGGTCCACAATTTTCAGTTCTCCTGGTAAACGTTCAGGAATAGGATCAAGAGGCGGCAGCTTTTCCTCTGGGCATTCTTCCTTTAAATGACCCTCACATTTGCAGACACCACAAATTCTAGGAACTTCCTGAAAAAAAATCATGTTTTAGAACAAAAATAATACAAATAGTGACTCACAATATTATGTTAATTAGGCCTAATCGTAATTTATAAACATGTGCAATTCGCTATTTATTCTAAAATGCAATTGGCGCTTGGATTTAGCCACACTCAACTAAGCTCCCCGTAAAAACGACCTTAATGCCTACTATACTAGGCTATTTTTTACCAGCTGCCAACATGGAGGAGAGTAAATTGATTTTTTTTCTCATTCTGTGGCTGTGTTTTTTGTTAAGGAGAAGGGAGAGTTGTCATGGATTAAAAGAAAGGAAGAGAGGTTTGTATTCATCTGGTTTTTAGTTGGCATAATTCAGTGGATGTGTAAGAAGTGCTCATTTTGTGATGATGCGTATTTTTCTTATTTCTCGCTCTATTGTTGATACTTATCATTTGCAACTTAGAGTTCTCCATGTAGACATGTTTTGAGATGGCAATGAATTATACATTAGTCAAATGCTTCAACAGGAAATATATATTTATAAAGAAGAAATAAGAAAAACTGTCAATATATTAGTTTGTTAATGATAAAGTTCCACCCAGCAACATTAGCTAAGAGGAAAAGTTTAGAGTTAAAAAAACAAACTAAAATGTTGTCTAGTAGAGAAAGTTCTACATTCCCAGGAAAAGTACTTTTTCACTTCCCTGTTTAGTTTAAGTTAGAATTAGTTCAGTTTTACAACCATTTATATTCATCCACATTAAATTATCAATGCGGATTTATCTAAGATATATGTTAATATTATTTTAAGATAGGTTGGTTATGTTTGATACCATTCAGATTACAAAACTGTCACCTTGTACAGTGTTTGAAAGACTAATAAATAAATAATTTACATGCTTTATAGTGACTGTAGGATAAATATAATGTGTAACACGAGCAAATGTCCTTTGCTGCACTCAAGATATATTCCTCTCGTAAACATTTCTCTCGTGTGCAGCAAAGTGCCACTTTGCTCACTAGTTAGCCTGAAAATCGGGAAGGAAATAAAAATCCCGTTCCGAATTAAAAATTCAACCCCATCCATCCTAATTAACTGTGATGGTTTCAAACTGATATAGATACCTTCGTAATTACAATTACATAAGTATTGTTGTGTTCTCGATTATAGATTCTCCAAGGTATTTCACTTACCTCTCCACCAGTCAGCAAGCGTCGCGCCAATGAATATTCCATCAACTTGGCTGAGAATGAAGATACTAACTGGTGAGCATCTTGCGGCGAAACACTCATATTACCATACATATGACGAGGCGGAACACAGTTTTGCTCTATGTAGGAGACTGGTATGTTATCTTCATTCATGTAGCGATGCTTGTGTATCATACGCGTCACATCTGATATGTGCTGCTGGACATCTGCAAACAACATTTTGATTAGCATTATGCTGTAATTGCTACATTATGGGTAGGTTAAAAACTTCTTCCAACATTGCATGATTTGTTTGAACACACATATTTTAATAAATTAAAAGACAGTACGCCTATATATATGAAATATATGACATTGGCCTTGTCTTTTATAAGTTACACTGCTGATCATCTCCTAAACAAAGACCGAACTAATTATATTAGCGTCCTTCCTTTGATATTATTATACTAACCTATATAATCTAATAAATATTTCTTTCGCAGCAAACCTAGACAAAGCTAATTAACAGTAGCTTTGATACATTTTTCTGACAATTTTATGATAAAAGGAATTTAAAAGTATTTACTAGTAGAGCTAAAACTATAGGTCGGCCGCTTAGAAAACGACCTGTGCGAAATCTTTTGTGCATGTAGGGGAGAACGGCGAGGGAGGGTATGTTCCCTCTCTCCGCCAATGGCCCTTTTCACACTGCACGACACGACACCAACACGGCGCCGCCCCGCTGTCGTGGGAGTTGGAATCCTGTGTTACCAAATGGAACTGCTTACACAATGATATAATAACATTTCATGATGCTCAAATATTGATGCGATTTAGGCTATACAATATTTTTTGCAGGACTTATTTTTCTCAAGTTATGAAGAACGCAATTGTTTACATTTTGATCAGCTGTATAATTTAATTGCTGTTAATATTTAAGCTGCAATTCAAAGAAATGCGTCCTACAAAAAACTAAATCTTTAAAAATTATATCATTGAAAGAACCCATGAAACATAAAAAGTCATTGAAGGCCACCGAGTAGAAGAAATAGAGATAATATTTTTTAAAGAATTTACTATCGTTATTAGCCTGTATAATGAAGAACACCTACAAGATTCAGATTCCTACAAACGATGAACGAGGATGAAATCGTGGTAACCACGGCTGTTGGGAAAGGCGAACGGCTGATAATTGCACACAGTGGCGGTGAAAATGGATTTGTAAGGGACAGTTTGGCAATTTTCAAAGCACATAAAAAAACAGGTGATTATCATGAGTCTATGAACTATGAAAATTTCAATAAATGGCTTGAAGAACAACTGTTGCCAAATCTTGAAGAACCAAGCGTTATAGTGATGGATAATGCAAACTACCATTGCGTAGAGGAAGACAAAAAACAAACAAGTGGTTCTTTGAAGAAGAATATTCAAGACTGGCTTCATAAACACAACATTGACTATGACGAAAATTTTACCAAAATAGAACTTTTGATGTTGGTGCAAAACGTCCAGAGGGAGCCGGTGTACAAAATGGACCAGCTTAATTACAATTTTGGACATCAAGTGCTGCGACTGCCACCATATCACCCCGACCTCAACCTCATTGAGTTGGTATGGGGAGCTATAAAAGGACGGGTAGGTCTAATTTATGTTTTATTATTGTAATTTATTTTATAAGTGTATTAAAATTGTTTTCATAACTCCAATCCGGTTGTCGAGGAAGGGGCAGTATGAAAATAGGCGGAGTGCGATTAAATATATTTTTATTTTATTTTTTAAGTACTGGTCATCACCACAACAGTAGGTAGTAACCCAACTACACATAACCTTTTACGGAAATTCCTATATTAATATAGCATTTTAACACATAATTGGTTTGAATTATAATAAAAAGTAATAGTATGTAGTATAATAAATAATTATATAACGTGTAGGCCTAATATAATTGTAACAATATAAAAACCAACGTAAAATGTAAAAAATTACGTGTTTGTAATGGATTTATTAACATTAAAAAGTATTTATTTAAATTATAGTATTTATTTATACAGGTTGCTAAAGATGTTGCTGCAAAGACATTGGACCAAAAAATGAGACTTTGTGACAGTCTGTTTACGTCATACACTGCTGAAGACAGGAAGAAATGTTGTGAACAAAAAGGAGGAACAATATTACTGGGAAAAGACCATAGGCCTATAATAGACAATGAAATCAACATACTGATAATTTCAGTAAACCACAATGAATCTGAGGATGACAGTGATATCAGTGATTTCATTACCGACTCGGAATATAGATAATATTTAGATCGTCGACATTTGGTTTCCACTATTAATTAAGGTATGTCGTTTATTTTATTCACAAACGGAAAATTATACAAATAAATTCATATCAATATCATTCAATATGATGCATACTGTAAATATGGTTCACATTTATCAAATCAGATCAAATCGTCTTTATTTCATATTGTACATAAATCAGTACATGGAATGGTGTCAAAAACTATATCTAAAACTTAACATATAGAAATCAAGTTGAATAGAAATAAAACATTAATTTAACATATATTCTTCTAAAGAGTATAGAGGTCTAGAGGTAGTGACAACAAGTGGTACAGTACTTCAAATGTTTTTAAATTTGAAACAAATATTTTCTTTCTTATGTGATCAGGAAGTTTATTACAGAATTTACGTCCAGCATAGGTAGTTTTCTTTTCATATAGACTTAGTCTATGGGCAGGTGCTGCAATAGTACCCCTATTTCTTGTATTGTAGGAGTGGCCTTCACCTAATAGAGGTAAGTCTGCAAAGTTTTGTCTACAATGTAAAATTACTTCATATATATATATATATATATATATATATATATATATATATATATATATATATATATACATGCTGTATACATACAGTCATCATTCCAACTTTTTTGAATTCCTCTTTGACGGTCTCTCTCCATTTAATATCCAATATGATTCTCAATGCTCGTTTTTGTCAAATCAAAAGCCTATCCAAATTTCTTGTACTTGTAGCTCTGTGGATGCAGATACCAAAATTTATATTTGAATGATTATAAGCAAAATATATCATTTTTAGTGTTTTAAGATCACAAAGATTAGATAATTTATACAAAGCATACAAACCAGATGTGACTTGTTTAGCTATCTGTTCAATATGTAAATCCCAACTTAAATTGTTACTCATTATCAAACCTAAAAATTCGGTGTTAGATATTGGAGATATTTTATTTTTATTTATAGTAATTGAGATGCGATTTAATTTATTATTTTTGTTATTGGTGGCGCTGATTGGCATTAAATTTGTTTTTGAAATATTGAGCAATAGTTGGTCATCACTAAAGAAGTTATTTATATCACTTAAATTATTGCTAATAGATTGTTCTATTTCTATGGCAGATTTGCCACTTATTTTCAAATTGGCATCATCTGCATAGATGCAAATTTTGTTTCCCTTATTACCAGAAATGACTTGAGGTAATCCATTTATATATATTAAAAATAAAAGTGGGCCCAAAATTGAGCTTTGGGGCACCCCATGGTAAATTAGTTTCATCTCTGATTTTTGTATAACTAAATTATTTTGATTATTGTAAACTAGCTCAACATATTGTTTTCCGTTTTTTGTTAAGTAACTTTTTAGCCAGGATAACATAGGTTTTTTAATTTTTAGTTTTGCCAATTTACAGTATTACCGTAATAAGTAAAGAATGTGAGACACTGTCAAAAGCCTTAGTTACATCTAAGAAAACTCCTACAACCTTTTCTCCCTCATCAATTGAATGTATTACAGATTCTATGAACTCAACCGCCGCAGTTACAGCAGACCGCCCTTTTCTGAAACCATACTGCTCTTTGTCAATTATATTATTTTTTCCCAAAAAAGTTATTAATCTATTATCATCAAAGCTAAGTTCTTCCAATAACTGATCAACAAATAAATAAATCTATTAAGGTAGTCTGTGACAATCATTAGTCTATTCTATTAGTGTATTCTTAAGCTATTTATATTTATGTGTGTTGTGCTATCTAACGATAGACTTAGTCCTAAAGAATTGTTGTTGTTTAAAAGGAAATAATTATTGTATTAGATAACGAGAGCGAGGTGCCGGTCTGGTAGCAGTACGCGAGTACGCTGCAGGGTTGTGTTGTATCACTGCGCGGTGTTCGGGAAGGTTGGGGGTGGGGCGGCAGCGGAGTGGGGGAAGAGCCATAGTCTGTCTCACTCCCACAGCTCGGTATCTCTCTCTCGCACCAATGCCACAAGTAGGATGCTTTCTAAGAGGCCGACCTATGGTATAGCCTAGATCACATTGGCTCAAATCGTTTATTCTAGGTAAGAGCATCGAAGGATCAATCATCAATGGTAACATCGACATCTACCATTGATGTAATGATAACATCGTCAACACATAGATGTTTTAACAGTAAATAACAATTAAATTGTTTCTTAATTAAATTTCTCTTTTTATTCTGCTTCATCACCTGCTCAATTAACCTAGCTAGACTTTCTTTACGATTGTTTTGGTTAACTGTTACCTCAGTTAGAGTTAAGAATGCATTTGAACGTTTTTATTTTAAATCACAATGCAAAATCGTGAGTTATTAACTTATTAAGCTTTGGAATCAAACTTTTAACCTCATTTAAATGGAAAATTATACTCAATTATTGCTCCAGTAATAAATTAAGGAAGTAATGGCATCTGATTAATCTTTTATGTGTTAAACCAACTACTCAGTTCAATCCTAACCTAAAAATCTAGTAAAGTCGCAAGTTGTGTCATCAAACCTTTTGGGCCCCCTTGATTAGATAACAAGAGGGTACTGGGACTTTGGTATTATACCGACCACACCGATTAATCAATTTCTAAATAAGATTTTAATTAGTAGGCCTATAAATAACAAAATATTTCTAACCTAATCCAAAAAAATAGTCCACCTTTAGGTTAGGTTAGGTTAGATCCTAATAATTAGGTGTGAACTCATTATTCTTAAATTATTGTGGACGGACTCATCAATTCTGATGTTTGTTTGTTTTCACGTCCAGTGCCTTTGGATGACTGAAGTCTGTCATCGCTTGCTGATTGGTTCCTGGAATCTGTGATCCAACTTCTGCTGTCTCTAGTAGAGAATTTTGATATGACTCATCAAAGTCATTTTATATTTAAATGAGGTATAATTAATCTTCGTTTATGACATGTGGAAGAAAACAAGATGATGACCAACCAAGATACCAAAATAACAACTACATTGAAATTGAAGAGTATAAATTTGATAAAGTAACAAATTTCAAGTATTTGGGAGTCATCCTCACCAGTGATAATGATGAAGAGCTAGAAATACAAAATAGATTAAACCTAGCACAAACAAGTTTTTCGGCCAGTCACAAGTTACTAACTTCAAAAATAATATCCCACACCACCAAACTCAGGATTTATAAGACAATCATCAGACCAGTTATCCTGTATGGTTCAGAAAATTGGATCTTCAGCAAGAAATCTGAATGGAAAGCTACTGTATTTGAGAACAAGATTTTGAGGAAAGTGTACGGACCGATTTTTGGAGGATGGACAATTGAGATCGAGACATAATTGGGAACTTAGAGAATTATTTAAGGATCCGTATATTGTCGCTGAGGTACGGAGCAGAAGACTGAGATGGGCAGGGCATATTCTGAGAAAAGATGACAACTCCATATTAAAGAACATCTTGAGAAATAACCCAGAAGGTAGAAGACCCCTTGGAAGACCAAAACTTAGATGGTTCGACCAAATGGAGAAAGACCTGAGGAAGCTAGGGAGAAGGAAGGAAGATGCAAGAAGCAGAGACATATGGAGGCAGTGTGTTGCGGAGGCCAAGTACCATCTACGGTACCAGTGGCCACAGCAGTAAGTAAGTAAGTATAATTAATATTCATAGTCTCAGTGAAATTTTGAAAAGTAGGGCACTCTTGACATTGTGGATTGCTAAATTCTTCCACTGTCACACAGAGTTTGTAAAAGCGAGTTGAACGCTCGTATCGCCCAGTGAATGCTGGAATCTCGTAATGAACAAGTTCCACGCAAAACACACTTACTGTTCTCTGAAAGTGGTCTTCGGACCTATCTATC